AGGGGGGGAGGGGGGGCCCCGTGGGGAAACTGAGGCACGGAGCCCCAAGTCTGGGGGGTGGGGGGGGTCTGGCCCCAAAGCCTGGCTGGGACCCCTGAGCAGACCCCTGGGCTCACACTGGGTGTGCAAGAGGAGGGGGGTGTGTGTGTGTGTGTGTGCACAGCTCTGCAGGTTGTGTTGGTGTGTGCCTCTGTGCCCAGTTACAGCCTCACTGCAGGGGTTGTGCGTGTGCACGAGTGTGTACACACACACCTTTGTGCAGCCCCACTGCGCATCCTGCGTGTGTGCTCACGCTGCTTTATCACTCGCACGGCTTCTCTGCGGGGGTGTGTGGGTGTGGGGGTGTGTGTGTGTGTACACACGGGCAGCATCACTGCAGCGTGTGTGTGTGCACATGTACAGCCCCGCTGCAGCGTGTGTGCACACACGCACAGCGTCAGCGCAGCACGGGCTCATACGCACAGCCCTGCTGCAGAGGGAGTGTGTGTGTGTGTGTGTGTGTGTGCATGCACAAGTACGGCAGCACTGCGAGGGGCCGTGCGTGCACACACAAGAAAGAGCATCACTGCACTGGGGCTCTGTGTGTGCACAAGTCTGGCACTGCAAGGTGGTTGTGTGTGTGTGTGTGCACAAGTCTGTCACTGCAACGGCAGCACTGCGAGGGGCCGTGCGTGCACACACAAGAAAGAGCATCACTGCGCTGTGGCTGTGTGTGTGCACAAGTCTGTCACTGCAAGGTGGTTGTGTGTGTGTGTACTGCAAGGTGGTTGTGTGTGTGTGTGTGCACAAGTCTGTCACTGCAGGGTGGTTGTGTGTGTGTGTGTGCACAAGTACAGCACTGCACTGTGGCCCTGAGTGTGTGCACGCACACGTACAGCATCACTGCAAGGTGGTTGTGTGTGTGTGTGCGCACAAGTACATCACTGCACTGTGGCCCTGCGTGTGTCTGTGTGTGTGCACACACACACGTACAGCATCACTGCAAGGTGGGTGTGTGGCTCTGTGTGTGTGTGTGCACAAGTGTATTGCTGCACCATTGGTGTGTGTTGCACCACAAGTGCAGCATCACTGCAAGGGGTGTGTGTGTGCACAAGTACGTCCCTGCACCGTGGCCCTGCGTGTGTGCACACACGTACAGCATCACTGCAAGTGGTTGTGAGTGTGTGAAAGCACAAATATAGCGTTGCTGCACCGTGGCTGTGAGTGTGTGTGCACGCACCAGTGCAGCGTCACTGCAAGGTGGTTGTGCCTGTGTGCACAAGTGTGGCCTCACTGCAAGGTGGTTGGGTGTGTGCACACAGAAATACAGCATCACTACACCACGGTTGTAAGGGCGTTTGCGTGTGTGTGCACAAGTACATCACTGCACTGTGGCCCTGTGTGTGTCTGTGTGTGTGCACACACACGTTCAGCACCACTGCAAAGTGGTTGTGTGTGTGTGTGCACAAGTACATCACTGCACTGTGGCCCTGTGTGTGCACACACATGTTCAGCACCACTGCAAAGTGGTTGTGTGTGTGTGTGCACAAGTACATCACTGCACTGTGGCCCTGTGTGTGTCTGTGTGTGTGCACGCACACGTACAGCACCGCTGCAAAGTAGTTGTGTGTGTGTGCGCAATTACATCACTGCATTGTGGCCCTGTGTGTGTCTGTGTGTGTGCAGCACAAGCACAGCATCACTGCACCATGGTTGTGCGTGCATCCACGTGTGTGCACACACACACAAGTGCAGCATCACTGCGAGGGGTGTGTGTGTGTGTGTGCACAGCCTCACTGCAGCGTGTGTGTGTGATTGTGTGTGTGATTGTGTGTGTGTGTGTGTTCACACTCACCACCTGTGTGTGCACGTTGTGTGGTGCCAGCTCCCAGCCCAGGGGTTCCCCCAGCACCCCCTGTGATTGTGTGTGTGTTCACACTCACCACCTGTGTGTGCACGTTGTGTGGTGCCAGCTCCCAGCCCAGGGGTTCCCCCAGCACCCCCTGTGCCCCCCCCCTTCCCCCCCGTGGGGGTGGATGGCAGCGGGGGGAGCCCCAAGGTGACCCCACCTGTGCCGTGGGGGGGGGGGCTGTGCTGCCACCCCCTCCCACCTCCCCACGGGGTCACCTCCCGGTGTGGGGGGACCTGTGACACCCCGCCACCCTCCCGGCCCCACAGCCACCCCTCGGGGCTCCGCCGTGGGGCTGGGAGCTGCCAGCTCCACCGGGGAGGGTCGGGGTACCCCAGCTAAGGGGGGGGGCACACACACCCCCCCACACACACATCGGGATGGCCACCGGCGGGATGTGTCCCTGCTTTTCCTGAGTGGGGTGATGGGGAACCACCCTCTGGGATGAACATCCTCAAAGGACGAATTCTGGGGGTGCCTGGGCCGGAGCGGGGCTCCCCGTGAGGAAAGGGGGTGCCCCCCCCCCACCCCCCCACTCAGGCAGCGATTCCAGCCACGGAGACTCTTTAGCCGTCAGGCTGGGAAGCTTAAAAACCCCAAAACGTCCCCAAAACGCCTTGGAATACGTCAC